GAGAATGTCCGGCCATGACTTCATGCCCTGAAACTCCATCACTGTTGGGTTATCCAGCTTGACAGTGATTTGCAACAGACCAGCAAGTCCACCTCAAACAACCCTTCAATGTGGCTGAATTAAAACAACAGTGCCAAAATTTCTCCACAGTGATATGAAAAACTCATTGCCAGTTATCACAAATGCTTGATTCTGCCAAGCTGGCACAGCCAGCCATAAGATTTAGTTTTCACACAAGGCTATGCAGGTTTGGATAGCTTATTTTTCTTAATAAATAAAATCATCATCTATAAACTACTGCGTTTTGCATTTAGCCAGGTTATTTTTGTCTAATATTAAAATGTATTTGGTGAGCTGAGACATTCAAAAATAGAAAAAGAAACCATTGAGGGGCCAACCACTAAACAGTACTGCATCCCTTTGGTCCTTAAAAAGGTATATAGTTATCTTGAAGTCTAATAATTAGCTTAATGGGTGCAGATGTGTGTTGATTATACTTTTAGGGGCAGAAATTTGTGTTTTCATTTCTGTGAGCGTCCATGCATTTGGGCTTGCAATTATGTAATTATTGCATTGGATGAAAATTCCTTAAGAAAGAATGGATGTTAACTCTAACCCTAAACGGATCCCAGCCAAACTGATGGATGTTATTAGGTCACTGTCTCGTTTGCAGCTGACCTGCATCTCTGCTGACTGATAACTGCAACGTCTGTGGATGTTTTGCATAAAAGTATCACCAAAACGGTCAAACACACACGGATCAGACATTTCTGTGCAAAGAAAATCAATCTGCAAACAATAAGAATAACAGGATATTCCGTCCGTGGTCAGGTTCACAGGCCCGCTGCGGCACACGGGAGGTGAAAAACAGGTACAGATGCTGGCTGGCTGATTCCCAATCACATATCCTGCAGTTTTCCTCTAAAATAATCAATGCATGCTACAAGATTATAGAATTCCTTTCTATATCAGACTGTGGAACAGTGGCATATCTGTAACACCAAATTCCCGTCAGATTTTCCACCTGCAGCGTGTCACAGCCTGCACAGCACGCACATGGACAAATTAAAGCTCCGCGACAAGCTCTGACAAACAGACCGTAACAAAAGGCATTTACTGTGCCAAAAAAAAGGATTGCCAGAAAATTCTACCTCCTCTCTGGTGTCCTCCTCGAAAACGGTGGTGGTGCTGCTTTCACTCGCTGTCGCAGCCGATGCTGGAGGAGACATGGTGCTGGGCAGCTACTGGTAGTGATGACAGGGCGTGGAGGAGGAGGAAGAGCGAGAGATTTCACCGCCTTTACTCCACAGCGACCCTCAAATGAGACTCGTCACATCTGCTGTCATTTAGAGGCATTTAGAGCTGAGCCGACGGGGACCGGCTGATCGGTGAAAGACAAAATAAGAGCATCTGTACCTTCCTTAAGAAACGAAAATCGATACGCGAGGGTGTTTCTACAGGAACTCCCACCTCCTGCTGTCTACGGTTCAGCTGTCAGTGCCGCAGTAACATGATGGGAGATATTAGCTGGTCGTCGTTACTGAAGGAGCGTGCCCTGCCCCTCGGGGTCCGCTGGGTGCGCAGGAGGCGGCCGGAGAGCTGGCGGGGTCGCTGTCCATGGTGCTGACTGAGGTAGACTGAGGTACCGGGAGATGCTGTTGCATAAATCACTTAAAGGGAAAGTCCGACCTAAAATGTGCCGCCTCACTGATTGTCAACATATGGAGCAAAAATAAAGTTATTTTTACTTTAACAAAGTAATCTGGTCACTCTTTAGGCTTAACCAACGGTTTTCTTTGGACGGCTTAATTGTTCGTAGTGTTGTTGTGACGTTGTGATCTCTGGTTACTTAATATGAATGACTTTTGATTTTATTGAAGTTTTGGATTCTCCTGTTTGTTGATTTGTTGTTTGTTGATGATACTGCCTAAGGGAAGCATGTATAATTATGTTCACATAAACATGCTTCCCTTAGGCAGTATCATTAGAAGACAGTATACATTAGTGCAAATGTATACTGTCGGGTGTCCTCTGCATAGCAGTGCAGCTATGCAGAGGACACTCGACTTTATCTTTCCATGAAGCCAAGTAACACACCCCAAATTGTTAAACTGCAGGAATGTCTTAAAGACACTAAGACCTGGGTGACCACTAATTTTCTGCTTATAAATTCAGTTAAAACTGAGGTTATTGTACTTGGCTCTGAAAATCTTAGTAATATGCCCTCTAACAAGATACTTGCCCTGGTTTGCATTGCCTTGACCTCCAAACTGCAGGCTTGCTTGTTGTTCCTAAAGTATTTAAAAGTAGAATTGGAGGCCGAGCCTTAAGCTTTCACGCCCCTCTTTTGTGGAACCAGCTTCCAGTTTGGATTCAGGAGACAGACACAATCTCCAAAGGCTTAAAACTTTAATTTTTGGGGCTGGATCAGGTGACCTTGACTCCTCCCTTAGTTATGCTGCAATAGGTGTAGGCTGCTGGGGTAGTCCCATGATGCAGTGAGTGCTTCTTCTTTAGTCACCTTTCTCACTCACTATGTGTTAACAGACCTTTCTGCATTGAATCATACTTGTTATTAATCTCTGGCTCTCTTCCACTGCATGTCTTTTATCCTGTCTTCCTCCCCTCACCCAAACCGGTCAGATGGCCGCCCCTCTGCCTACTTCTGCTGGAGGTTTCTTCCTGTTAGACGGGGGTTTTTCCTTACCACTGTCACCAATGCGCTTGCTCATAGGGAGTCATGTGATTGTTGGGGTTTTCGCTGTTGTATTATTGTATGGTCAACATTGCAATATAAAGTGCCTTGAGGCAACTCCTGTTGTGATTTGTCTCTGTATAAATAAAATTGAATTGAGTTGGGTTCCTGCTTTGTTTTTATGGTTATTCTGTTGATGTGTTTTAGTTTTTGTGTTGTTTGGGGATATTAAACTCCAGTATTTGAAGTTGTCAACTTGACCTAATTACAGTTCCAACATGCTTCATATCTAATTATCTCATTTCCTGTTATACTTTGACCGTTTCCCCCTGTGTCTCTCTGTCTGATTATCCTCACCCGTGTCTTGTTCCCCTCCTCTTTCTAACCTATAATTGGCTTGGATTAGTGATTTTTTTTTTTGTTAAACAAATATTCTGCTTTCTGTGTTTGTATTTGGCTCCTAACTTCTACATTCAACCTGATGTTTTCTGATGTTGTGTTTTGGGTCCTTGTCTTGGTTTTCTAATTCTGGGTTATGAGGTAGATTTTATTATACAGACTGAAACACCCTCTGTTTCCTTAGTGTGTCCGTGTCTGTTTATTCGTCCAGTCTCATTTTTCCTTTGGTTATTTCTTGTTTTACTTGTTTTACTGTGTGTAGTTGTGTCCGCCTTTTGCCTCCTTTGTGATTGTTTCCCTCTGTGTCATGTTTCACTATTATTCTGTGCATTTTTAATCATTGTTCTTTGTAGATAACCTAGTGTATATAAGTGTATACCTACTTTTTTCCAGGACCCTCTAAACATTAAACATTCTTTGAAAAGAAATTAGTTCCATTTGTAGCTTTTCTCAACTTTTGTATATTCAGCTTCATTAAATTTATCTTTACTGGGCATTTCTTTTTTCTGTTTAACTAATTTATGTCTTTTTGATGTGGTTTTCCCCACTTTTATTTTCACTTCTGTTTCTTTGTTCTATTCTGGAGTCATCAAAGAGAAATGGTAAAAATAAAATACTTTTTATTATTGATTTACATATTTAAATTTAAATATGAATACCATCAGTCACATTACTAATGTTACATCTGTTATACAATGTGTAAAATGTTTTCAAGAACCTCAATAAGCGTTCAAGAAATGTAGTGAACACGGGAGCAAAAGTTTCCAGAAACCATCAAGCATCAAATCTACTGCATGAAAACTCTTATTTCTTTAAGTCTAATAAAGCTCATCCTGTGTGCGAGTCATGTGTCATACATGATATGAAGCACATTTAATGCTGGCATTATTACCAAAAAGCACATTTCTTCACATAATTGGGATACATGAAACATCAAAATTATATCACATTCTGGGTCACAATTAAACTTACAACTCACAACAAAAGTAATGTTTGTGTTATGTATGATCTAAAGCTGCCTGTTCAGCTGTTTGGTTCTAATTTCTCTTTACTGAAACGAGGAGAACATCAGTTCAGCAGGATGTTGGAAAATCTTATGGGTCATTTGGAAGGGTTGTGGTGTTACTAAATGACTAAATGTGCTATTAAAATGTACTTTAATGCACTGATAACAGCATTTCAGTACATTATTTCTTTACTTGATACTGTATAAATGTAACTGAGCCTCAGTCTTTAGTAAAATAGTCTTCATTTTAACCCTCAAATAACTCGTCTATTACTATTTTCACTGCAAAGAGGAGTTGCACAAATAAAATGACATTTTATTTAGACAATCCTATGATTTTTCTCACAAAACAAATTTTCTTTGTTTCAATAACACTAGAAAAATATGTATGTAAGTATATGTAATATACTTTTAAGCAGATTATGTATCATTTAACACCGAACTAGGAAATGGTGACTCAATAATACTTTGATCACCGACAAATTACAGTGACGTTATCACAGTCAGGAGGTTTGTTTTTCATCTTTTGTTACTCCCAGGCTCAAACTCAATCTGCGTGTTAATGTGTTATATGATTCTTTCAGCAGAAACACTCAAAATTCCCAGATTACTAAAATATCTAAAAATAATAATGGTCAAAATTGGACTCGTAAATATGACATTATTACCAACAAGTCACAAACCACAATCAAATCAAAGCCTATAACGATAAAATAAGAAGAAGGTGGAAAAAATCCTGGCAAGAAATAGTTCTATGGTCAAAAATATCACAAAGGCACATATAAATATAAGGCTGGGGTCATAAATGACTCCGCACAGGTCACCTGAAGGCTAAAGAAACATAAAATTACAGAAAAGGATTCTTGACGGTGACAAAACTACAACAAAGTCGATGTTGGGATCCTTTAAAGGAATGTTGGCACAAGTGCAGATGCTGAGGGGGCTTCTAAAGAACACTGAGGATCAGATGATGACTCTGTGGCAGCACTCACAGTTCTGATGAATCTCGCTGAAGTTGGACGGTCGCTGGGCCAGATCCATGAGGTCAGCCTCTGGGTAAGCAGCTGCTGGTTGGAGCAAATGTGCCACTCCAATTCTGTAACATCAGTGCTTTTAACTCGAGGGATACGACACCAGTATCGTCGATCAACACATGGCGACACAGGTCGGTAATCATGCCCGAAGACCTTCTCAACGCGATAGTGGACGTATGCAGTGCGATACTCTGTGAAGACTCTGAGAGGCCAGGAGAACGTGAGGAAGGAGGCAAACCAGAAGACGTAGTGGGACAGATACCAAGGGTGGTGCTTTGGGTCGCAGAGCACCAAGACATACTCCTTCAGGTCATTGTTCTTTAGATTCATGTCTTCTCTGGCTTCCATGTAGTCATCCAGGCCCTCGTTGTCGGTGAAAAACCTCGCCCTTTGAGTGAGATAAGAATTCTCGGACTCTACGTTGGCAAAACTGAAGCACTTAGTCAAGCGCATCTTTGTAAGCACAGACTTCTCCAAGCCCAGCAGCTGTTTGGAAACATCTTTGACACCACAGTGGCTGTAGTCAAATTCTGCTTCTGCCACGTGGGAGTCGAGGCGCTCATGGTAAACCTGGGTGCAAGTATAACGGCGGTAGCGCGTGACTTGTCGAGTTCGGCGCACATAGTGATAGCTGAAGGCCTTCCACCAGATGCAGGGCTTAGCCTGCTGCATCTTCTTGATGTGGTCATAGATGCCCTCCACGTCCATTTTGTGCAGCAACTCATTCTTCACGTGACAGTGCCAGCACTCCAACAGGTAGACTAAATAGAGCATGCCCAGTAGGGCCAAGGGAATGTAGATGTAGCCATCAGAACAGGGGCTGTCATGGTACATCTTGGATTTTCCTTTTAAGGCACTGTCGAAGGTGAAACGAGTCACTTTGGTGATGTGACACCAAACCATGGCTCCCATGCAGCCATACATGAGAACGGACAGGAGTAGGCATTTCCAGAAACTCTCCCGACATAAGGACTTGCTTAGAGATTGCTTCAGCGGTCTTTGCTGTTGAGTGAAAGCACACATAAGAAGAAACATTTTAAAAACTGATCAGGACATATTTATAATCCTATAACCACCTAAACTCTTAGTATCCACAATCTCATGGTGTATTGTACAAGTCCTCAGGTCCCGTGGACAAAATTCAGCATTTTGCAAATACTAATCCAGCCTGCATTATGCAACTTTGGAAGGAGAGGTTTGCTTTTTTAGAGAACAGTTTGTATTTTCATTCAGACTGCACAACATTGCAGAGTTTAGGACTGAAATGCAGGATTATGAGTCTGGCAGGTGTAAAACCTACTTTTACTCCAGGCATGGTAGGCAAACTTCAAAAGTCCAAAGTTCAAACAAACTCAACAACAGTCTGGCCAGAGTAATGCAATGGTATCTTACAGGGTAAAAACACTAATCAGTGAGCACAGCTGGGGGGAAACTGGGCACATGTTAACAGAATCTAGATAACGAGGTAAGAAAAATAAAGGCGATTTTATTTATATAGCACAGAAAATACAGGAAAAAAACAGAAATCCTTGTAGGTTTACAATTCATTAAGGCAGTGAAAACAATGAGATATAATTTTTTTTTAAAGCCAATCAAAATTAAGCAAAAAAACAAACTTGAGCGTGGTCCTGTGTGAATAGTAAAGGTAAAGAAAAACTAAAAAGCAAGGCACAAAAGCCAAGAAGAATAGACTTGGCAAAAATATACAAGAGGATGAAGAGGAAGTCTGGAACAAGCAAAGACTCCAACATGACTCTAAACACAAACTAGAAAAGAATGAAATTGGCCACAGAGGTGTTACAGTAAAACACAATAAACCTACAATGTAAGAAAAAAAAAACAGAGATTAATAATGAAGAATTCAAAGTTCAAAAAACTCTAAACTTCATGTTTCAAATGAGGAACATGACAAGTATTTCTATATGTACTTGCTGTAAAGACAAGTTTCATGGTATGGAGGACAAAAATGGCTCAATTTGAGTAATAAAACTATGATTTAAAGTTAACATACATAAAAGCAGACATTAATTTGGTTGAAGAGAACAGACATTAATATGCTGTCATTTGTTTTGTAATTCTTTTTGTAAAAAACAAAATAGGAAATTAAAAGTATTTATGTTTACCCTTTTTGATCTACATTTTCTCTCATTTCATTTATTTCTATATCTCAAAAATAATTCATAAAAACGAGAAGCTGTGAGAAAACATTACTTAAAACATGTTTTAAATAAAATGAACAAATTAATAAATAAAATTGAAACTTAAGTGGAAAACTAAATAAACAGGAGGATAAGCAGAGTGAATCGTCACTGCCTCACGCACTCCCGTGTCCAAGTTTACACCGATGACACCTGTCAGATCATCCACCTGCAGCGTGTCACAGCCTGCACAGCACGCGCGCGGACACAATAAAAATCAACAACACAGAGAGAGTAAGAAAAAAGAAAAAGAAAAAAAAAAGGATTGCCAGAAAATTCTACCTCCTCTCTGGTGTCCTCCTCGAAAACGGTGGTGGTGCTGCTTTCACTCGCTGTCGCAGCCGATGGTGGAGAAGACATGGTGCTGGGCAGCTACTGGTAGTGATGACAGGGCGTGAAGGAGGAAGAGCGAGAGATTTCACCACCTTTGCTCCACAGCGACCCTCAAATGAGACTCGTCACATCTGCTGTCGTTTAGAGGCATTTACAGCCGGTGATCGGCCAAAAAAAGAGCATCTGTACCTTCCAGCTGCTGGGAAACGGGTTAAGACAAGGAAAGCAATACGCGAGGGTGTTTCTATGGGAAATCCCGCATCCTGCTTTCTACGGTTCAGCTGTCAGTGCCGCAGTAACATGATGGGAGATATTAGCTGGTCGTCGTTACTGAAGGAGCGTGCCCTGCCCCTCGGGGCCCGCTGGGTGCGCAGGAGGCGGCCGGAGAGCTGGCGGGGTCGCTGTCCATGGTGCTGACTGAGGTAGACTGAGGTACCGGGAGATGCTGTTGCATAAATCACTTAAAGGGAAAGTCCGACCATAAGCGAGTCTTAAAATGTGCAGCTCCGCTGATTTTCAATGCAGGGAAGGAAAAACAGAGATTTTCGCTTTAACTGAGTAATCCGGTGACACTTAAAGGTTCCTTGTCGATATGCCGGCTCATCCGCTTGGTCAAGGTGTCATGGTCCCAGGGTTTTGTTCCATATTCATGACTTTTGACTTCAGTGCTGTTGTGGAGGATTTTTTTATTTTTTCATTTTTTTTTTAGTTTTTGCATTCATAGATTCGGGGTTTTTAGTCACGGTCTTGGGCTTTTGTGTTCTTTGAGAGTTTTTCATTCTTAATACATTTGAATTCTTATTTTTAAAACTCTTTTTTTTATTATTATCATTCTGCTAGTGAGTTTAAGACATCATCAAGTCTTTGTTTCCTGTTTTTAACTTTATGATTTTCCAGTTTTGTTATATTGGGTTTTTTGGTTTTGATCCTGTGAATTTCAGATTTCTGTGTTTTTGTTTTCCACCATTATTGTCATGGTCGGACGGTCCTTCCCGGGGTGACCTGCCTGTGTGTGTATTTGTGTGTTTCTCTCTCTCTCCTCTTCCTCCTCCACCCCAGTGGCTGACACACCTGCACCTAATTTGCCACCCAGCTGTCACTGATCATCCTTCGTTGTGGGCTGAGGTATTTAACTGTGTGTCCAGATGGCAGTCGACGCTGGATTGTACTTGAAGCGCGGTAGTAAAGAGTGCTTTGTGACTTGCAGCTTAGCTTTAGCCGGCTAGCCTCCTCACCTGTTGTTTTTGCTCGTTTGTAGGAGGAAGAGATGCAGAGCTGGAGGTTGGAGAGAAGGAGCCCGTGGGATTAAGCTATTGGAGGAGAACACACACTCGGATAATCACTTTGGAAACTCACCTGCGCACCACTGGGAGTTTGGAGAAGATCACTGTTGGACTTTGCACTTCACTTTGTGTTTTGAAACTGTTTTTGGGCACTGTAAATAAACGCACTGTGTACTTTGCATCCAGAGCTCCACGACTGAGTCCGTATTTTCCCATTACCCGTGACAATTATAACAAATCTTGTTTTGTCTTCTCCCTGTGTAGGTCTGTATGATGTTTTCCTACCATGTTCCTTCCTGAAATAGTTCAATAATATTTAGAATGTTTGTTTCATGTCTCCTTGTTTGGTCATTTCCTTTTTTTCTTATTGATAGTTTCCTCTTCTCGCTTCTTTTGGGTTTTATTTCCTCCTCTTCTGTTTCTATTCCCTAATCAGCCCTCTGGATATTTATAGTCATGTTTTCATCTTTATTAAAGAGTCTGTTACATCAGCAAAAGTCTAAAACCCACGAAAACACAAAGCCACAAAGAAGTTTTGGGTTTCTTCAGTTTGTGGATTTTTGTTAATTATTTTATTTAATATTTATTTTTTGGTTGAAACTTTCAGCTTATTTCATTTAGGATTCTGCTTTAGGTTACTTATTTTAGACTCTTAATTTTCTTAACATTTCCTTTGTGTTTAGTTACCTCCTGTGTTATTTTTGACAGTCATGTTTCCTTGTGTCTGGAAACTCTAGAAGTTTTCCTGCTGAGCAGTGAAGTACAAAGAGTTGGGAAAAGATACATTTTTACTGATTTGCCTGTTTAATTTTAAACATGAATTCCACCAGTAACATCAGTTATGTTGCAAATGATATATTATGTCACATGTTTTCAAAAATCTTGATAAGTCCAAAATAAATCTAGTTAACAAGGGTTTCCAGAAACTGTCAAGCATAAAACCTGCAGTATGAAAATGCATTTAACTATTATAAAGGCTTTTATATTTACAGTTCACTGTATTTGTGTGAATCTGGTCTCAGAGATGATATGAAGCACATTCAATCTAGATATGAATGCAAAATCTTTACAACAGAAAAGACCTATTCATTCATGAAAGACTCCATGAAATATCAAAATCGTGTCAGATTCTAGGGCGCAAATAAACTCACAATTTAAAAAATACAATTTACTTCTCAGAAACTCTCTAAATCCCAGAGCAGTGAGTAAAATTGTTTATCAGCTGTTTGGTTTAAATCTTAAATTGTGGAACATTTTTGAAGGGCTGTTCATCCATCCATTTTATTCTGCTCATATTCGATTCGAAGGCATGTGGGGTCCCTGGACAGGTCGCCAGTCTGCCGCAGGGCTAACACAGAGACATAGAACCATCCTCACTATCACGCCTACAGTCAATAACCCACAGAGACTCGGGGAGAACATGCAAAGAAAGGCCACAGGGTGGATTCAAACAAAGCATCAATCTCTACTAAAACTTTCTTTTAATCCTCAACAATCACTTTTTCCATTTTCAATGTAAAAAGGAGTTAAAAATGAAATTGTATGAACAAAATCGCATTTAATTGGACAATGCTTCTTTGTTTCTTCACACAAAAAATTTTTTTCTCTGTCAGTAAACCAGAAAACTTTTAAAACTTAAAATTTGTTTGATAGAATCATATGTGGACAGGTTGTTACTTTCAACAAGTTGTAATGAAATAAACGGCAATAAATTCCAAATTGCAATAAAATAAACGTCTGTATTGTTCAATGTCTGTACATATATTAACTCTATCCAGTTTAGTTTCCTAGTTGCCCATAAACAGCTGTGAAAAGTAGTACAAGAAGTCAAATCAAAAATATTTGTGGTCAAAAATATCCTGAAGGCACATGTAAATATGAGGCTGGGATCGTGAATGACTCCACGTCACGTGAAGAAACAGAAGTCCCTGAAAGGGATTCAGGGTGGAGGCAAAGCTGTAAGACAATCTTCTTCCTCAGGACTGCTCCTCCCTGATGTGCCCACGGTGTGAAATCCCACGCTGTTCACTACTTTTCCCAGGGTCTCCTTTTCTGGTGACGAAGGGAACCCTAAAAGGAAAAGTAAATAAGGGTTATGAGTGCATGGAAATCTCTTCATGATCAGATATATTCCATAACCTTTCAGTCTGACTTCATACATGTTAATAAAAGAGGATAAAGCTTTATTTAAAATTGTTTCTGATGATGCACTCAGCTACTTACGGAGTACATGTTGGAGAGGTTGTTGAAAAGCACTTGGCCTGCGCTCACTTTGTTCCTCACTCCTCTCACGGTCCCATTCTTGCTGCATATATTGATCCGCTTGTTGCTAAACAGCATCTCTCTCTTGGCACTGGCGTACAAAAGCAGGTCATCGGGTTCACAGCCATTCTCGTCCATGGCTGTTTCCACCACCAAACCGTTCAGGTGGCGGTTGGCCTCGCTGGTGGGGAGAGAGCCGCCCTGCTGCTCTGCCTCTGGGCTGCTGGTCGAGTCAGACTCCACCGAGTCCTCCACCGAGTCCTCCACCAAGCCGCACCAGGCTCTCTCATCCTTGAACACCTCCGCCAAGACCCGGCCACTGTTGGCAGACGCTACTCTAAACCTGACTGTTTTCCCAGCCTTCTCGTTCTCCTGTTTCAGTTTTGGCCTCTCCATTGAAATACAAGAATGTCTCACATGTTTTACATCCCATTCAGAAAAGCCAGACGCGCTCTCTCAGTGCTGCGCAATTATCAAACAATAATATCCTCATTGATGTGTCAAAATGAGCTGAGTACAAAAACTAGACACCCAGATGGTTAATAATTAATGAGCTTCTGCCATGGTAACCGCTAAAACAGGTAAACAGTAAACTGATATTACCATGTTCAATAATTAATCAAGGTTAGTTTTCAAACAGCTACAGAAGTGTGTGATCCTTTATGGTCGACTGGGCCAGCAACAAGGATGAATTACCCAGGAAACACCAGACAACCTCCGGTGACCTTTTCTGTGGCCCCCGTTTTGTTTGTCTGACCCCGAGGTTATCACGAGAGCGCAGACTCGAAAACCAAAGTAGGCAGATTGTTCTTTTCTGTGTTGGCCACTTTATTATATGCATCTGTTCAACAGCTCACAAATATCCAATCAGCTAATCACATGGCAGCAGCTCAGTGCATTTAGGCATGTACAGTGGGGCAAAAAAGTATTTAGTCAGCCA